TTATAAAAATCTCTGTACAACGTTTCTCAGCTCGTGTCGAACGCGAAGATTTGTCATCAAAGAAACGAACAAAGTGGTTCAGAAGATCGAGTCAAAGGATTACTATCACCAAGTTGAGAAAGTTGAAAAGTACTACAAGTAGAGACACAAGGATAGATGATAGATCGGGACGAAAGTTCAGAGAATGATCGAGGGATCTTCCAGCGATCGATCAAAATTTTTCTTTGCAAAGCGTTTCTTTACAAAGTTTTGCAACTCGTTTCTTCGACGCGTTATGCTATGCATCACCTGTTTGCATGCGACCCGTTTAAACAGAGAGCGTTTAGCTGACATTAAAGCGAACGCGCAACACAAGTTTCGTAAGTCGCGTAACCCTATTGATCGAGAGAAAACATTTGTTGCCCGGGGCTGTCACCTTACAATTTCCACGTCACCGCCCACGCTTCTCGGATCGACCGATCGACGATCGTTATTAGTCGTCGCGAGCGATCGCAGCTGGCGTGTGATCGCGGATGCTAACGACAGGTGATTTTTCTTCGACCAAACGTAGCAAGCTTAATAGATAAAAGATAAAAGAGTTCGAGGCTACGTTGGAGAATGATTCACGCCAATGCCAGATCCGTTAATGGCTAATGGCGCCGTGGATATTCTGCTGCTGGCCGTCGTTAACCGGATTTTTCACAGACGCGACACGTCCGCGGATGAGCCTCGTGCGAGAAGCGACACCGGTTGTTACCTCGATATCATCCAGCCATCACGTATCGCAACGTCGAACACTCACGAACGCGTGCCCACGATACGATGACCCATAATGCAATAAAAGCGATACCGGTTATCGACCAATCAATATCTTTCCTACATCGCGCGTGATATGTACTTCGACGCCGACGTCGGCTCGGCTTCTCCGTTCCCACGCGGCGGGCTAATAATGCCGGCCGAAATTAACACGGCCGGCATGACGAGCGGGATTTCAGAATTTTGTTTGGTTTGGAACAATCGTCAAACATCTATAGACATTCTTCCCTTTGTCAAACCTCATCTGGTTTCGAAAATTGTAACCTTGTTTTTCAAGCTTCTTCTATAATTTCTTTTCTTCTTGCAATTTTGATGAATTCTGAGCATTGAGGTTAGGTGACGAATTTTTGTTGTTTAACTCTTTAAATGTTTTTTTTTTTTTTTT